GGGGGGGGGGAAAGCAAACAATGGAGAAAAACCACAAGTCACACATCACAATCTCTCACAGACAGCTTATAAAATATCAGCTGTTTGCCTTTCACTAAAAAAAAATTATGGGGCCCATCCGTTCTCTTCAAAGATGACAAATGTCCCTTCCCTCCAAAAACACAGATGACTGTAATTCTTCAGCCTTCACGAAAGTAAGAATCCGCAACCCTTTGCTGGATTCTGGAAGGCTGTTCTTGTTCACATGAAGCAGAACCACTTATTTATCTATTTATAGCCTGTAAGGAGTTACCAAAAAAAATAACAATTCAATAGTTAAACTTTGATACTTTTTTTCCTATTACCCCAAGAGAAAGGGGCATATCATATCTATTTAATCTATACTCCTTAGAGAAGAAGTATAGATTAATAATATCAAGGGTCCCAAAGGGAGTCGGTCTGGTAATTATCCCACACATTCTGATAAGTATCATCAGCAAACCCGAGAGAGTCACCATCCAGCATTAGTCTCTCAGCTGTTGCATGCATCCACATAGTGGGTGAGCCCAAGGTTGAGTCGTTGATGGCCTCAATTTCTGTGGGCGAGAGTCTGACAGTGACTGGACCAACTCTGGAGCTGGAGCTGTCACCGTCGTCCGTAGCGGCTCTCAGGGAGAGTGCAGCCTCGTGAGCTGCCATGCGGACGCCGTCAGGGGTAGAGCTCACAGGCCTTGGCAGGTTGTTGACCAGCTCTGGGAAGTTCAGACGAGCTTCTCTTCCCCTGAAATGAAATGCAGCCGCATCATACGCTGTTGCGGCCATTTCAGGCGTCTCGAAACTGCCTAGCCATATCCGGTTTTTGGTTCCCGGTTCGCGGATCTCAGACACCCATTTCCCCCATTTTCTCTTCCGGACTCCTCTGTAGGCAGATGGGATACCGGCTTGAGTATCGTTCCGCCTGTTATTATCATCATCTCCACTTCTTGTTGCAGCCATCAAACATACAAACACAAGTTTAATAGTTTTATCAGTCCAGAGCTTGATGCTGGTACGGTGACAGGGCTTGCGGTTATTTATAGGTGTGGATAATTATCTTGATGGGTGATGGAGCCTGGTACAGATTTTATAATCGTGATTGGGACTGCTAGTGTGTACCTTCCAGGCAATTTCGCAAGGGGTTTGTGGGTTTAACATGTGTAATTATTTTTTGTTTTAAACTCCCAAACACGGACTTCTAGTTTTATTATTCGTCGTCAGAAGTATCACCCACACTGTTAAGTATTACTATAATGGCAGTTCGGAAGAGAGGGGATCTGAGGGCGTGTGACATGGGGAGAAGCGGAGTGGATGGAACAGTGGTTGCTGTAGCTGACGCGGTTTCCTTTCCTCAAGTGTGGGCCTTTCCATGCTGAGCTTATCAAACATTCTGTTTTTGGGGTAAAAAGTCTAAAACCCAAAAAGATATGCATGAAAAAGAACAAATCTTCTTTTTTTTTCCCCTAAACAGAGTTTTTCATATTTGAAAAGACTATTACATAGAATTCAGAGCTGAAGTCTTTTGTAGAGATTGGAGATAGAATTTTATGTTGACTCGTGATATATATACAAGTTTAGAAGGAGGTGAATATTTTGTCCTCCCAAAGTCGTCTTCTCCATCTTTTTTTTTCTACGGTTAACTCTATCCGTCTGCATTGAAAAAGGGGAGAGGCCTTGTTCGTGGGGAGAAGACAAAGAGGGTAAGCAAAAAGTAAAAAGAGGACAGAAGAGAGGAGAGATCATTTGAGGTACGGTTGGGCGAATAGAGGTGAGACGTGTGTTTGTAAAGGGGATGTGGAGATGTTGTTAGACCACCGACTTGTAGACAGGGAAAGGCATTTAGATTCATCTGTCTTTTTTTGACTACTTTCTCGTCTGACACCGCATAGGATTTTTGTCTCTCTCAAACGGCTTGCTTCTTCTGCAGAAGCGCATCCCCTAGGATTTGTTTTCCTTTCAAAGCCACGTCCACAGTATTTTGCTATGGGGGTCTATCTACACACAAAATCTGGGGAAAAAAATGTACTCTGGTTTATTCATGTGATTTATGATGGATGCTAATTTTCCTTTTCCTTTTCATTTTATCTCTTATAGATTAATTAAATGACTTGCATAAGTTTTAGTGCGAAGACACGAGTGTTTGCATTAGAGGTGGTAAAATACGATGGATTATCCACCTTTTATTTTTTTTTTGATAAACAGCTGTATGCTATCAAATTTCACCAACTCCGGGCTCATGTTCCTCCGTTGAAGTAGTAGTATAACCTCAGTGACTAATTAAGTTGATGTCAGGTTCACCATCATTGAAAGCAACTCGTGAACTCCGTTGTCACAATTAAAAATAAAATAAATTAGAGGAGGCAATTCAGAGAACGTCCTAGTTCATGGATCGGATCTTAGTGGATTCTTCTTTTCGTATTTTCTTTTGTAAGCAGCAACAAGTCACATATACGAATCCCGCGTCCAAGGGAAGCGATGCACCGAAACAAAAAACCCTCCCGACAAGAATGGATGGTGGGCATTCCCTCGTATGCCGTATTAAAATAAACACCTACGACATAGAGAGAGTTATACTCGTGATAATATTTTAAAACTGTCTTTAAGAAGAAAAAGAAAGGGAAAAAGGCGTGGTCCTCAACTATGGAGGAACTTCATTGGGCATCGATGAAGATATCAGGGACTGGGATGTGAGTTGCAGCTGGATTCCTTTTTTGATCTTTTAGTTTTAATCAGAACACCACTAATAATAAGTAAGAGAGCTGAGAGTCTCCATTGCCGGAAAGAGCAAAAGTCAGCTTCACCTTTGTTTCTATACTGTGCTCTTTTTTTTGTCTTGTCGGCGCTGTCCGGTCAGTTTGTGAATTGGGCCTTTTTTTCCTTTTTTTTTTTTTTGACTTCTCATGAAATGGGCCCTTTATGGATATAGGCCCACCATATCATCACTAGGATTCTGTCCCGATTGCTTGGGCCGAGGAGTCAGACCATAGATATTTGCACTTGTATCTTCTTCTTTTTTCCTCCTCCAAGAAACCCTCGGTATTCTCAAACTTGTCCGGATAAAAATAAAACCGTGAACATGTATAACCAAATATTAATTCAAAGTAACCGAACTGCAAACATCAAAAAACTCAGCCAGACAACCAATTACTTATAAAAACTCAGCTCACAAGGAACCAAGTAAAGCTGAACCTCTTCAAAACAGTCCACACACTAATTTTATACTATATATGGTATGCTCAGCCGTTGATCTTGGAATGTCCGAGCTTTAATGACATGTGTGGACAGTGGAATGAAAGTTGCAGTGCAATAATGGTGGTGACAAAATTGGGTACTCCTACTCCACCGCTAACAGGAACATGGCCGTCATCTGGGAAGAGAAAACGTTGTACGATTACTTGCTCAGCCCCAAGAAGGTGACCAAAATGTTCATATTTCAAGAGACCTTGTTGCCTTATTCTGATTTTTGTACAATCGTAATGCGCAGTATATTCCGGGAACGAAGATGGTGTTCCCTGGACTTAAGAAGCCGCAAGAACATGCTGATTGAAGATTTCTTAGTATTTTGATGTATTTGAGTGTGAAGAAACACAAAAAAAAAATATGGTTGATGTTGAAGAAGAAAAATAGAATGACAAAGAGTGAAATAGGACTAAGTTCCTTTTGTTCTTCTCATTTCTTTACAATGCTTACGTGCAAATATATACACAAAAATCTAACAAAGAAGAAAAGGAAAGTCAGATTAGATAGGAGAAGAAAATCTGTCAAAATATGAAAAGGAAACTAACAAAAACAAATGGAGATATCTAGCCGTTAGAACGTAGTCTTCGTATCATTAGTCCAGATTTTGTGTAATACATCAAGGGAGTGGAGAAGAGGAGACGACTTGGGCCTTGAAGTGTACCATAGGCCCAAGTAGGCTAAAGTGAGGAAGCTCATGTAGCAAGAGAAGATGTGCTTCCAAGTGGGCTTGAGTGATAAAGTTCCAACCCGTTTCTTCTTTTTCCAAGGCCATTTTCCACCGAGGGGTAATTAGGTGAGTCCAAAGTATATTCCTGTCAACACTGATCTCATCGCATCCTTGAAGGAAACTGCTGCGTGAGTTGGGAGCGGCATTTGCTTTTCTTTCTGCATGGAATGATATGAAATGTGAGGCAAACCTGGTAGATCCGAAAATGGGGTTTGGTTTATGCATTACTGCTTATGATCATGAGAGCTAGTAATTTTTGTTGGTCTGGTGGATTTGCGCTGCTAAATACTAGACTAGGATGTATATCATCAAACTACAATTCACCAATTGATAAGCCTTCCATTTGCATAAAATCTGACCGTATATCCTACATCATCCATTTCAGCAGATGGGGCGCGAAACAAGATGGATGACCAAATACTGTCTACCAAACGCAGGACCCGGTTGGCAAATGGAAACACTACTAGAAAAATTGATACTGTATTATAATTTAGCACAATTAACAAATGGAAACACCACTAGAAAAATGAAAATACTTATGTGAAAATGGATATTTTGAAATAAACAACAGAGAGAAATGGAAAATTTGAAAAATGGCCAAAGAGATGGAAATTTCAAGTAACAAAGAGATTGGGGGGCCTTTGCAGTTTGGGCCGAAATGGGCCGTTTTATCTCGATTTTAAATGTTTTATTAGCCCATAATTAACAAAATGGAAAATTGAAATAACAGAAATACTGCATTATTATTTTTTATCGTATAGTTAACAAATGGAAACACTGCCAGGGAAAAGCTTAGGAAAATGGAATTACTTATATGACCGTTTAGCAAAATGGATGTTTTTGAAATAAATAATAACAGTGAAAAATTGAAAAATATAACAAAAGATAAATGGAAAATTTGAAAATAACAAACGAGAAATGGAAAATTTCAAACAGGGAGAAATGGAAACTTCAAACCTCATAAATCCCATGCACAATGCAGCAAAGCTCTCTCTCTTCTTCCACACACATTGCGATCTCTCTCACTCGCTTGCTCTTCTTCCTGGATTCGATTCTCTGTTCTTGTATTGTTGTTCTTGGCAATCTGCTTTCTCGTGTTTGATTTCTGACAATAATCTCGACATTGTCGAAGATTTCCAGGATTCGACGCAGAATTTCTGTCGTGATGAAGCTGAAGAGGCGGAGCTCTGCGTCTCCTTCCCTTTCTTCTAGGGCTCCTGTCGATCCTGAAAACCCTGAGCCCGTCAGCAACAACGGTCTCGGGCTCCGATCATCGTCGTACGATTCGCTCAATAACCTAACCGGTAGCATCGACAACATGAATGCAGATGTCAAACAGCTCTTCCTATCTTCCCAGAGAGATCTTCGGGAAAACCCTGATCTGCTCAACCTCATAAACGATTTCTTCGACAAGAACACCGCATTATCCGTTTTCTGCGAGTCTCTGAAACGGTGCCTGGAGAAAGCTGCTGGCAAAGAAGCCCTAGTTTTCAAAGCTTTGTCGGATTTCATGGAGGAGAAACGGGTCTCTGGAGAGGAAGGGAGTTTCAGTAAAACTCTCCAAAGTCTTAGGAGCTTCAGAGATTTCTCCAGCTACGACCCTTTCGCCGGAGAATTCGCCGAACTGTACAAGAGCTGTCACGACGACCTCGTCAGGCTGATCGCAAAACTGAAAGAGACGATCAAAACACTCGACAGGGAACTCCAGAAAACACGCTGGTACCGGAGGTTTATGATAATGGTGTTGATTGCGGCGGTCTCCGCCGTGATTGTCGGCGCCATCGTGGTTGGTGTAACGGTGGCTCCACCGTTGATGTTTGCGATGGGAACCGTCGTGCCGTTCGTGCCGATAGGCTCTCTGGGTGTTTTCTTTTCCACCATGCTGCAGAAATCGCGAAACGCACTGAAACGCCAAAACGCAGCGATGAGTTCGATGGAGCGAGGGGTGAGTCTTGCGTTGAGCGAAGTCGACAAAATCAAAGGTCTGGTGGATAAGTTCGAGGAAGCAATGAAATCAATGGAGGAGACGATGGACACGGCGGCGGCGGCGGCAGAGAAGAGATCGCTGCTGGAAAAGGCGATGGCTAAGGTGGAGGAGGACTTGCAGACGTACAAAAAAGTCATCAGCGATCTGCAACGCGAAGGGGGGGAGTGCGATCAGAACGCGCGTTTGAGCCGAGAAGTTGCTCGTGACAAGATTACTCAACTTCTGTCTGAATGAAATCTCTTGTAATGGATGGACAAATACTCGTAGATTTTATTTTTTGGCGTGTGGAGTTCTGTTTTTTGCTTAGACTCGCACCGCCGCCAAATGTTCTGCTCCTTACTAAAAAAAAATTCATTCATCCATTTGTAGTTTTTTTTAAAATTCAGGTTGTAATGACATGCAAAAAAATAAATAAATATTAATACATTAAATACCATTTATATTGTACTTGTCTACTGAGTACTGGCATCTATTATGAAACAAAATGAAGAAAAGACTTGTGTCCTAAAAAAATATTAATTGATCAGGCATTTGATATGTTAATTAGATTCACAGTTCTACTTAAGTTGAATTTGTGATATATACAATGGTAGATATTGATTAATATTCAAAGTGGACAAAGAAAAGCAGGGAAGAAGAACAAGTGTTAAGAGTTAAATCTCTCCAGAGATGTCTGAATCTCTTTATAGGGTTTCGATTTTCTGCAAATGGCTAGGGCTCGCCAGCGCTGCGAATACGTTTCTGCAGATGCTCCAAACTGGCAACTCTGTGCAGTGAAGCCGTTCTTCTGGTCTTGCACTCCGTCAAGGCCTTGCCTGTGGCCGAAGAAACCTCGGCCACGATGTTATCCTTGACAAGAGAACTGCTAGGAGAAGATCAGATGGGGCACGAAACAAGATGGATGACCAAATACTGTCTACCAAACACATTTTTAGAGTTGCAACATTTCGTAAAAAGAAAGCACATTAAAAATCTACGGGTTTATAGACGTGGTATCGGACTAACATTTAATTTAACATCAAACTCTCCCATTGGGCAATTCCTGCCAAGGCTCTTCTTACTCTTCTGTCTTCTTCCCATGTCTCCAATCATCGCCATTGTCGTCCTTCTTCCCTCTACCCCCTCTGCCATGTCCAAATCTCGTCCGGTTCTGCAGCTCTCCACTCGTTTTGACCTCGGCAGCAACGACAACATTCAAGCCCTCTCTCTGATTCCCAAACCCTAGTTGGTGCCGTCACCTTCTCCGGATCTCTTTTCCTTCTTTCTCTCGTCACTTCATCTAAGTGTGTCATTGAGCGTTTCTCCGGTGGTGTTTTTCTGCGTTCTCGGCCAGAAGAGCGGGAAAGTTCTAGCTCTCTGCGATGGTTACTTGTTTCTCTGTCGATTCGCTTTTGGCGAAGCCCGCTAAGAGACTGGGTGGCGCTTTGATCTGGTTGCAAGGAGATTCAGAGGACGCGATTCGGTGAGTACGGATTTGTTCGGTGGGGTTAAAACTATTGTTTGGCTTGATGATTTCATTATTGCGGGCACCATTCACGGGTATAATCTGGCCTCGTGCTCAACTGGTCAAAGCGGAATGATATTTGCATTGCCTGATGTGTCTGGTTCCCCGCTAATCAAATTGTTGTGTAGAGAGTGGAAGGTGTTGTTGCTGGTTGACAATGTTGCGTTGGCGGGAGCCTTGTCTTCCGGAGGAGACCTGATTCTGTTGGAGAATTGTGTTTCTATGTTGTGGTTGTTGGGGGTGGAGAAATGGAGATGCATCAGAAAAAGACGTGTTCCAGTCAGTCGCTTTTGGTCCTCAAGGATGTGGGCAGTCCGTTTTGGCCGCAGAAGAGTCTGGAAATGGCAGCATAGTTTCCGTGGCTTCCATGTCAAAGGGAGTCCAGAAGTTTATCTTGCTGAGAAATCATGTCTGCGTCTCGACAAGAATTTCATTATCTGTTTCTTTTTTATGCTTCAGCTTATTTTCTATCATGGAGAACAAATAAAGGACCCGCTGGGGAAAAAGAACTACAGAGAAGCCATCTCCATTTTTGGAGGAGCTTGACTCGGAGGGCGAAATATGGAAAGAAATGCTTTCTTTTGTTCATGCGCAAATAGGGTTTCTTTTCTACTGCTTTTTTATTTGCACTTTCAAGAAGCTATCACTTTTTGCAGTCGGGTCGGAAAGACCGCAAGCTTCCACGGTTTTCCCATTTGTCATGCATGATCCCAACCAATGGTCTCTGCTGCTAATATTGCCTTTTTTTAGTGGCTCTGAGTTTTTTATTGTTGTTTTTATCTTCTTTTTACTTTGGAGGGTTTCTACCTGATGAACCTTGCATTATCCCTTTCATGTTTTTTTTTTTCTGACACAGTCTGTGGCATAGTTGGAAAGGTGCTAAAATATGTGATCCCCCACGCATTGGCGTAAGAATGAGCATGCAATTCTGTTCTTCTGAGGTTAGGTTTTGCTTTCAGGTCCCAAAAAACAGGTACTGGAGATACTCGATCGCTGGCGGCTACTCGATCAATGGGGATACTCGATCGCTGTCAGCTATGCACCCTTACGCTCCTCTCCCAATCCTCCTCTGGATACCAATTGATAGAAACCACCCATAATGGACTGCTAAATACATTTACCATTCTGCTAAATACATTTACCATTCTCTACACGAGGATGAGATCCTAAATGTGTGAAGGGGCATTTGTGTGTTTCTTGAAGGCATGGAATGCTCAAGGCTTTTTGTCTGTCTGAACTGTCAATCTTGTATCGCTTTCTGATTTCTGTGTAATCCTTTTTTGACAGGCTATCCTATACCGAAAGCTAGGACAAGAAACATTAGGCCTTCAAATTTTGGCTCTGTAAGTTTTAAACTCTCTCGAGTGAGACCACTGGCTATAAAAAATTAAAACAAACAACGATTAAGTATCACAGATATTCTTCGCTTAACTTCCTAAGGCTAAAGTCTAGATCTTATTTTGTAGAAATTGTCTGATGATGTGCCTCTCAAACTTGCATCTGATACAATTTTGAGATTGCTGAGGGCTCGGCTTTCATCATTGTCAGGGCCAAGTAAAATTCTGATGCACTTTGCTTTGTTCACAAGTTTGCTGATTTGTAAATGCTTTTGGCATAGCTTTACTAAACATTGTTTCTGCTGGAGAAATACCACAGATTGTTGTTGCAACTGTATCTACAGTTATGTGCTAGAAAGAAATGATAACGAATCTTGGCACCTTCCGACAAGACTGACGTGTTGCTTTTAAGTTTTTGATGGGGGCATCCGGAGTTCTGGGATAATCAGTTTTGCTATCCACGCATGATGTGTGACTATGGCCTGGGTTCTAGCTTTAGTTTCTAAGTGCGTGTAACTGAATTTCTCTTTCAGATTGTTCACAATATTTCCTGTGCATTGGATGTTGACTCGAGGTTGGCAAGATTAGAAGAAAGATCACGACATGTACAGATATACATGATGAGAACCTTTGCGATTCCTGCCATGTGCGTCTGGGTACTAAGCTGTTTGCTGTGTACACTGATGATACTATTGTCTGTTACAAGGTAGGTTTCTGTTATGGCATTTACATTTCTTGTGACAAATATGCATTAGGTAGGGGGATTTTCCCCCTAAAATGAAGTGATCACTGGAATGAATGCATGAACCTATTTCCGAGAACGGATTATTTTCTCCTTTCTGTGTGCAATGTTACAGACGCCTGGGCGAATCAAGGTCAGTGACAGGTCGGAACTTCAAGCAAGATGTGCTGATAAAACCCGGCTGATTTAGTTAACCGATAGCAGAAGTCGTTTGTAACAATATACATTTTCGACCTTCATACCGAGGAGTGTATAGTGTCATGGGCTGGTGTTGGTCCCTAGTTTCAAGACATTTAGCTTCAGTAGATTCTTATCGAGCACACGATGATAGTGGAGACAGCTTTCATTTGTTTTATCAATACAGAAACTTCAAATGTCTTGTCGTTTTTTCTCAGGCTCAGACGCCAAGTATAGTTAACGGACAAAGCCATAGGTAGTTTTTTTCCTTCGTTTGGGCATTTTCCAAAGACTGGGTTATGAATTTGAGGCGCTTCTATTCTGGTTCGTCTTGTATGCTGAATCACGAATCCGGGGTTTTTGTTGAGCTCTTGCGTAATTTAGGGAGATCCGGCCGTCTCCAAGACGCTGTGAGCTTGTTCTACGGCCAATCTGTGGAGCTTCATTCCCGACAAGCTTATGCTGCTCTATTTCGAGCATGTACAGACCACCGCGATTTCCGCCATGGCCACCGATTGCATCGCCACATGATCTCTCAGCACCCTTCTTATTCTCAAGACCTCATCCTCGCTAACCATCTCATTCATATGTATAGCAAAGCCGGGAAAGTATCTCTCGCACGCCAAGTGTTCGATCAAATGTCTGAAAGGAATGTTGTCTCCTGGTCCGCTCTGATCTCAGGTTATGTGCATGCAGGTTCTGAGCAAGAGTCCTTCCATCTTTTTTCAGCTATGTTGTGTCACTGCCGACCCAACGAGTTTGCGTTGTCAAGCATGTTGAGTTCGTGCCAATACGAGCCCGGCAAGCAACTACACGGCCTTTCTTTGAAACTGGGCCTACATTCTTCTGTTTATGTGGCTAATGCCCTCATCTCTATGTACAGTAGAGGTCATTACTCTGCCGTATATGAGGGTTGGAATGTGTTTGAAGCCATGGAGTTCAAGGATTTGATTTCTTGGAACTCCATGATTGCTACTTTTCAATGCTGTAGTCTTGGAAAACAAGCTATCTACCTTTTCATGCAAATGCACCGTGATGGAGTAGGTTTTGACTGTGTGACACTGCTTAGTATCTCTTCTTCTTTGTACAGAAGCGCTGGCTTGGATCCCGATGTGGGTTTGAAGTTTAGTTTTCAGCTGCATTCTCTGAGCATAAAATCTGGGTATGTAACTTGGACTGAAGTCGCAACTGCATTGGTTAAAGTTTACTCGGAAATTTGTGGTAATTTTTCTGAATGCTACAAGCTGTTTATGGAGATGAGACATCATAAAGACATCGTTGCTTGGACCGGGATCATAGCAACGTGTGCAGATCACGACCCAGAGAGGGCTTTCCTTTTCTATCATCAACTGCATCAAGAAGAGCTAAACCCTGACTGGTATACTTTCTCAACCGTGTTAAAAGCCTGTGCAGGACTTGTGAAGCCACTCCAAGCTTTGACGATTCATGCACAAGTGATCAAGGCTGGTCTTGAGGCTGACACAGTGCTGAACAATGCGTTGATCCACGCGTATTCCAGATGCGGCTCTATGGGCTTGTGTGAGCAGGTTTTTGCAGAGATGGGTTCTCGAGATCTGGTATCATGGAACTCAATGCTCAAGGCTTATGCAATGCATGGCCTAGCAGACACAGCTCTACTGGTGTTTGCAGAAATGGACATCAAACCTGATGCAGCAACCTTCGTGGCGATTCTCTCGGCTTGCAGCCATGCTGGTCGGGTCGAAGAAGGAATGAGGATCTTCAGGTCCATGTCCAAGAACCCTGAAACTCTTCCTCAGCTAGATCACTATGCTTGTGTGGTTGACATGCTTGGTAGGGCTGGGCGGTTTGATGACGCAGAAGAGATGATGAAGCAAATGCCAATGGAACCAGACTCTGTAATATGGAGTGCGCTGTTGGGGTCTTGCCGAAAGCATGGGAATGCCCGACTAGGTGAGGTAGCAGCAGAGAAACTGCAAAACCTGGAACGTGAAAATTCATCGAGTTACGTCCAGATGTCAAACATATACAGCGCAGCAGGAAGCTATAATGAAGCTAGGAAGATGAGGAAGGAAATGGAGATGCGTAGAGTGAAGAAAGAACCGGGCCTGAGCTGGATTGTGTTAGGTAACGAGGTTCATGAATTCACATCTGGAGGAGGGTGCCGCCCGGATAGGGAAGCTATATTCAGGGAGCTGGAGAAACTGATTGGGCAGCTGAAGGAGATAGGTTACGTGCCAGAGGCCCAATTGGCAACGCTGGATATAGAGGAGATGAACAAAAGGAGGAGCAACTGATGCATCATAGTGAAAAACTGGCGTTGGCATTTGCTGTAATGGAGGGACGGGGTTTAGGTGGTAGTGCGGGGAATTCGATCCGGATAATGAAGAACATAAGGATATGTGTGGATTGCCATAACTTCATGAAGCTAGCCTCTCAACTGCTAGAGAAAGAGATACTTGTAAGAGACTTGAACAGATTCCACCGTTTCAAAGACTCGTCCTGCTGGGAAGGCTGCAATGACTACTGGTAAATGCCAAAGAAGGCTTGGAGAATATGGCTGGGAAGGCTGTGTTGTTGGAGCTGGCTAAGATGTTGAAGAGATAAGAAATGAACAAGGGCTTAATTTTGGGGTTCGGTGAAAAAGAATGGTAGGTACGAGGTTGAGTATTTTAACCCGCAAAGTGATGATATGTAATTGGAACTCTGAACGACGATTTTACCCAAAAAAAACTCTGAACGAGGAAAGGATCAACAGTTGAAGCAGTTTATCAGAAGGCGATGTTGGAGGGGTAGAAGAGTACATTGCCATTTCATCTAATTTGTGGTGTTTTGGTAATTAAGTGTTCAAATTGTGTGATTTTGGTTATTCGTTAATTGCGAGCACCGACTAGTGTCACGCGCCTATATTTTGGGTAATTTTCTGCGTCATTCTTGCTCGTCCCTTGGCATATTTTTCGGATCACAGGAGACATTCCAGGCCGAGCCATGTGCTAAGCCCGATGGACGAGAGCCATGTACCAGAACTTCTCCCCGAATCCGCCTCACACTCCGGACGACCGCACGTTCGGACAACCATGACAAGCCCTCCCGACATTCACGGACGCAGCCCGAAACCATGACCACGGAGCCAAGACCTTGTCCCCGGCTCACTTGGAGAATTCTAGCCAAACGCCTCCTCGGACCAAAGCCCGCTTGGACCGCTACCACTTGTGAGCTTGAGGAGTGACTTCGGCTTGGGCTTGCAGAGAAGCCCAAGTCCCGTGACCAAGCCCCTTGGTCTCTCGGATGGCCAAGCCCATCAACCCCTCTCGGCCCATCAGAATGGGTCCCCTTTTTGGTCTAGATTCGTCCAAGTGAAGATAAGGCAAGTGCATCATGATCTATTCGGATATGGCAAGTCCTAGAATGTTCCGATCTTGTATCTCTCGGATATGGCATGATGTAAGTCATATCCCCTAGATTGATCGATTAGTGTTCTTTATGGAAAGTTCGGGAAATTAGGAACGATTGATTGATTGTGATTGATCCTTGGAGATCTCGGACCTTGTGCTATAAAAGGCCACCGAAATCCCTTGAGACATTCATCCTAGAATTCTCTCTTTTCTTTTACACCGAGTCTCTCTCTCTTGTAAGTCTCTCTTGAGTTTGTTCGCCGGTTCGTTCCGGCCACCGTCGCCGGAACGGACCCGGGCTCCCGTTGTAACCTTGTCTCGCACCTTTAATGAAATGACCTCGTACTTGGTTCATTCTCATCTCTCTCGCTCTCTCTTTCTCTCGGCCTTCTCTTTTCCCATTCGGATCCCATGATCCTAGGCTTGGTTCGGTCCCCGTTCGAACATGACTTGAGTTTCTCGGCCAAGACCTCTCTCCATGAGTCTTTGGACCGAATCTCTTCGTTCATTCGAACCCTATTCCGCATCGGACCGAACCGCCGGACACACTAGCTTGACCTCTCAAGTTAGTGCGTCTCACTAGGGAGTGCGTTAGCTGTGTTACTTTTAACTCAAGACAGAGACGAGCACAAGCCACAACCGTGTAAAAAAAAAATCAATAAATTGATTAAAAGAAACTAATAAAGAAAAGATCGAAGGTTGTGACCAAAGGAAGAACAAGTTGCGGACAAGAGGTGGGAGAAGACAATCTCTGATCCAGCTTCGATCTCTCCCTTCCTCGACGAGAAAAAAATGTCGATAAACATGAAGACGCTGACGCAGGCGTTGGCTAAGACGGCGGCGGTGATCGAGAAGACCGTTCAGACGACGGTGCAGGAGGTCACCGGCCCCAGGCCTCTCCAGGATTACGAGCTCCTCGATCAGATCGGCTCCGCGGGCCCAGGTCTCGCCTGGAAGCTCTACTCTGCGAAGGCGGTCGGCTCCACGCGATCTCAGCAGTACCCCACCGTCTGCGTCTGGGTTCTCGACAAGCGCTCCTTGTCGGAGGCTCGTGTCCGCGCGGGCCTTTCCAAGGCCGCCGAGGATGCATTCCTCGATCTCATTCGTGCCGATGCTGCCAAGATGGTGCGCCTCAGGCACCCCGGTGTCGTCCACGTCGTCCAGGCCCTCGATGAGAACAAGAACGCCATGGCTATGGTTACCGAGCCTCTCTTCGCCTCCGTCGCTAACGCCCTTGGGAAACTCGAGAATGTCGCTAAGATCCCTAAGGATCTCCAATCCATGGTGCTTTTTGCTCTTTTCCCCTTCTCTACCTGTGGGTCGACTCAATTAGAGTTTCAGATACGAGCAATTGACCATAAAATTGTTGCGTACAGGAGATGAGCTTGTTGGAGGTGAAGCACGGTCTGCTCCAGGTTGCTGAAACATTGAACTTTCTCCATAATAATGCTCGTCTCATCCATCGTGCTATATCTCCCGAGGTCGCTTTTCCAGCTTCTCTCTTATACTTTCTAATCTTTCTTACAAGGTGTATGTATATGTTTTCTTAAACATGTGCATTTGGTTTTACTTTCCTGCAGAATGTTCTTGTTACTTCGACCGGGTCTTGGAAGCTTGCGGGGTTTTGCTTCGCTATTTCGGCAGATCAGTCCGGCAATCTAGATAATATGCAAGCATTTCATTATGCTGTGAGTTTGAACTCTTATTTACTGCTACTAGAATTCAGTCATATTTTACTGGAATCTGTCTGTTTAACTCCGAAAGCAAGATAGATTTACCATATGTGATGGTTGTCTCTCGGCATGGCTGGGTTGCACAGGAATACGATGTGGAGGACTCAGTACTGCCTCTTCAACCATCTCTAAATTACACTGCACCTGAGTTGGTTCGAAACAAAACTTCTTCAGTTGGAGCTTCTTCTGACATTTTTAGTTTCGGATGCATTGCTTATCATTTAATTGCACGGAAGCCATTGTTAGACTGCCATAACAACGTCAAAATGGTAACGTTAAAATTCAAGCTCTTCAATTTAACCTTCAGATATGAACTGTGATACGTCTTGTCTTTGAAGAAAACGGCCTCGGTTTATGGTTTATTCTTTTTGTCTTATTTGTAGTTTCTGTCTCGTATATTTTTCAATTTAACCTAAGGGATATAAAGGTATTTACTTGTTCTATTCATGATTTACTTTACCTTTTTCCTGCAGTACATGAATACACTGAACTATTTAACAAATGACTCTTTCTCATCTATACCCTTGGACTTAGTCTCTGATTTGCAAAGGATGGTATCAGTGAACGAGTCCTTTAGACCAACTGCAGTGGATTTTACAGGTAATGTCTTATTCTGGTTTCATCTCTTTTTGTGGTAATTTCTGCATCTTGGCTTGCATATCGTCTTACATCTATGCCTTGAATACTTGCTCTGTAGGGTCTCCATTTTTTCGAAGTGATACTAGATTGCGCGCCCTCCGTTTCCTTGATCATATGCTTGTACGTGTCTAAACTCCAAATCTTTGTTTTAGAGAGTGGTGGTTTTAGATGATGGGAAATATATCTCCGGTGTGGGTGGAAATTTTTTTTCCTCATTGCAGGAAAGGGACAACATGCAGAAGTCTGAGTTCTTAAAAGCTTTGTCAGATATGTGGAAAGATTTTGATTCCCGTGTGCTGCGATATAAGGTGGTCATTTCACAGTAGTCTTCCTCCTTATGCTGTGCCTTGAAAGGAATATATTGGCTGCTCAAGTGAGTTCTTTAACAATCATGCAGGTGCTTCCTCCCCTTTGTGCCGAACTTAGGAATTTGGTTATGCAATCCATGATACTGCCCATGGTTCTAACAATAGCAGAGACTCAGGTGCATTTCTGCTAAATCAGGCGTTTAAGTTTGATCAGTCAGTTTTTGTATGTTAGTTTCTAAGTCTTGTGTTTGTATGCTCTGTAGTAGGTACGCATGGATTCAAAATAAAATTTGTCTCTCCTGGAACTTGCTTATAACCAATCACAGCACATATACTTTGCTGAATTATCTTTAATTTGCCGTAAAATTTTAACAGATGGGTTCGTGTATAAGTTTTTCATAAAATTAGATTTTTTTCTGGTATTTTATAGAAAAATGAAAGTTCCGTAAAAATGGATTTTGACCCATGTGTTTCACCAAGGTTATTTATTGTCTTGGACTCTTGGATTTTTCCTGATGTTTTGATGAACGCTTTCAACCTTATTACATTCGCAGGATAAAAATGACTTTGAGTTGATAACACTCCCAGCTCTTGTTCCTGTCCTGAGTACTGCCTCTGGAGATACTTTATTGCTGCTTGTAAAGCATGCGGAACTTATTATGAACAAGGTAAATCAGATCAATATGTAGACATAATTAAGATTGCATCTCCTGACTCTGTGTACTGGGTTTTTATTTTGAATCTTCTGATTGGATGTAGAAGGATGGATAAGGGAATTACGATTTCTTGTTCCCTGGGGACAGATGTAGTGGCGTTGCTTAACATGAATGGAAGCATTCAGATGTACATAGTACGGTTGTGGCCATAAAACCAACCCATTTGTTTATGTCTCTTCTCTTGTACGTGTGTTTTAGTTGAGAGCTCTGTCAAATCTAAACACACTATTGTTTGTTTTCTAAATGCACCTCAATCGAGCTCTTTCTTCCATGTATATTGTGAGGTTTCTTACTGGTTTTGTTCTTTTGTTCGTTTTTTCAGACTAGCCCAGAACAGCTCGTATCACATGTCCTACCTTTGCTTCTCCGAGCCTACAATGATAATGATGTTCGTATACAAGAGGAAGTTCTGAAAAGATCCACATCTGTATCTAAGCAATTCGATGGTCAGGTAATGCTCAGTGCTTTATGTTTTCTGTTTACTAGAGAACTTGCATCCATTTGAATGATACGGGCTTCAGAATTTGATATATAGTTGCATTTGATTAGTGTCACATGCTTTAAAATATTTGGTTCTGCACCATAGTATCAATCACTTGCAAGAGATGTGTTTGTACTGTTATTTAATTGCTCACATCTCATTCTTTGCAGGTCGTGAAGCAAACAATTTTGCCTCGTGTTCATGGATTGGCTCTCAAAACTACAGTTGCCGCAGTATGTTATGCCTTGATCGATTCTCTCAGCCACCTTTATTTCCCATCTTCTTTTCCGTCTGTAGCCTTAATAATGAGAAAATATCAATTGAATGATACACAATCTAAACAGAAATTTGAATGGTATGTGCTGGGTATTCCATTATCGGTGCACAGGTGAGAGTAAATGCTTTACTCTGCTTAGCAGAGCTGGTTAACACGCTTGATAAACACTCTGTTCTTGAAATCCTGCAAACAATTCAACGATGTACTGCCGTTGATCGTTCTGCACCTACCCTTATGTGCACTCTTGCTGTCGCAAACGCAATCCTCAAGCAGGTATCAAATGAACTTTATTCTCCTTGATGTTTTAACATCTTGATGTCCCTCTTGTGGTAGAATATAATCGGGTCACATATCATAATCAGTGTTCTACGTTTTCTATTCATCAGTATGGAGTTGAATTCACCACAGAACATGTGCTTCCCCTGATAATGCCTCTGCTCACTGCCCAGCAATTGAATGCCCAGCAGTTTGCCAAATATATGCTATTTGTCAAGGATCTCCTCAGGTATGCCTTTTCTTTGTTGCAGTACGGCTGAACCAACCGTTTCCTGTTTCCAAGTTCTTGTTCCCGTCATTACCACATGATTTCGTTTTTTCATGTGAAAATCTGTTTGTGTTTTTTGTGGTCTGCAAACAGGAAAATAGAGGAAAAAAGAGGGGTTAGAGTGAATGATTCTGGAATTCCCGAGGTAAAATCGGCCCCTTTTGCCAATGGAAACCAGTATCAAGTGTCAAGCCAAACAAGTGAGAAGGTCGCTTCTGCTGCCAAGAGCAGCCATACATGGGATGAAGACTGGGGTCCCCTGAGGAGGGACCTCACTTCGAGAAATTCTGCAGCTGTTCATCACGATGTGAACCCTAAGTTTAACTTATCTACAGTTCAATCACAGTCATCAATCACATCAAATTTACCCAACAGGACAACAACAGCAATGCCGTGCCCTGCAGTTGACATAGAGTGGCCTCCAAGACAGTCTTCCAATGTCACTGCTCAGCCAGGCAATGACGAGACACGACTAAATGCAGCAGGATCATCTGCTGGAGGTTTTGACGACTTGGAGCCATTGGCTGATTGGCCACAGCGGTCGAATGGTTCTTCTTCTGGTTCTGGTAAACTCATCCATGGCACCGCTCCTGTGAGCAACAACAGTGTTTCTGGTTTGAACAACAATGTAACAGATAATACGACACAGTTCCAGACAGCTAACAGTGATATATGGGCTTTTGCGAATGCCTCTCTGGCAGTGGCATTAAAACCGCAGCAGCAGCAGCAGGGGGGTTCAGTTCCCAGTACAAACCATTCAGGCCCTATGAACTCTCTTGGGGCAGGAATTTTGTCTTTTGGCAATGTTTCATACGGTAAACCAAATCCTGCAGATATCAGTTCTATATTCGGTTCTAGCAAAAACGAGCAATCAGCACCAAAGCTCGCGCCTCCACCTGAAGTAGCAGTGGGAACTGGAAGAGGAAGAGGAAGAGGAAGAAGCGGCACATCTATCGCAAAGTTGAGTGGTTCCAAGCAACAAGCAGAACAACCACCACCTCTTTTGGATCTATTGTGATTGAGAAGAAGACATTGGCTTTGTGTAAGATTTAAACATAGAAGTGCTCATTTCTTTGTTTTGTTTGGCTTGAAAACTGTGTAAATCTTGCTTTTCTCTTCACGTTTACGTCTTTATATTCTTTTTGGGATGGAAGATGATGTATTCTTCTAGACGTTAACGCGACGATAGCTGAATCCTGGATAATGTAAACTTTAGTGTTTTCATTTTTTTTCCAACGGAAAGGAAAAAATGATTTGGTCGACACGTGTGGATATTAGTATATGAAGTAGGATCTAGGTTTTTCACTAAAAAAAAAAGTTGCGATCCATGCTCCTTTAAAATTGATCAGCAGTTGTAAATCATTCAGATGGATCGTTGGCTCCTTTCTCTCTCATTTCAAAGTCCTCTTTGACAACCCCCTTTTCACCGTTAAATATTGCGGGAAAACGAAAAAGAGGTTTCGAGGAATGTCGACCGTGGGAAAGATCGGCAGAAGATCCGCAGCCGGAATTCGAGCGATATAGTACCCTTTCCGGCGGCAATAATCTCCGGGCCCGACCCGATCATTGGAGGCTGACACTCTTT